TTGCATTAGTACTAAAGAAATTCAAATTAAAACCAAAATGAGAGGATTTCCAGTCAAAAAAATGGCAGAGTAGGTAAATGTGGTGCTCACCTCCTCTCAGGACCACATCAATTCCACTAAACCACAGAAAAACCATCATTGACAATCACCTGAAGTCTAGCTGAACCGAAGCCCTAGAACTATGAACATACAGAAGCCACCTTGAGAATAGTAGGAGGGAAGGAGATGCAGAACAGGCTGGTCCCACACCCACATGTGACCGTTAAAAATCGGGAGGGATATCTCAGTTGCAGAGGTTCCCCCTAGTAGAGCAAGGAGTCCCAACCCCACAACAGGATCCCTAGCTTAGGGTTCCAGTGCCAGGGAGAGAAGTCTTCATAACTTCTGGATGTGAAAACCAGTGGAGATGGTGGCTGAGTTAGAAGAAGGGTGGCTGCAGTCCTAAGTGCTCTTTTAAAGGGCCCCCACATGGACTTATCACTGATGACTCATTCTCTCTGAGCTCCAACACTGGAGCAGCAGCTTGAAAGGCACCAGGGACTTACAGGGAGGTCTGAAGGGGCAGCTTTCTCCCAGAGGGAGGAGCTGGTGGAAGCCATTGTTTCTTTGTTGAGCACTCCCCCTCTCTGTGTGCAGATGCAAGCACACACTATATCTGAGTCTCCATCAAATTAGTTATCACCTTTACCTGCCCTGCCTAAGTTATTCCCTTAGACCCTGCCTCACCTAACTTTGGGGCACACCCAAGTAGCTTCCAGTGGCTTTTCCATGCAAACCACCTGCCTTGGCTCATGTTGCAGACTTGGCTAAAACCTTTCAAAAGTTCACAAAATCCAAACAAGCATCATCTGGCTTGGCATGTACTGTACCTCTGGCTGAGCATCCCTAAGCTCGGCACTAGCAACAGCCCACTTTGGTTTGTAGTTTGGCTTCTCAATGCACCTCCAATCACAGCTCAAGCAGCAGCCACCTCTGGATTGCTTTGTGGCTCATGCCAGGTGGCCCTGGGCAGGAAACAGGCTGCTGCTGACCTTGGCCTACAGCGGGTCCCCTCCCAGGAAGCCCTAGGGCTGGCAAACCTAGTGGCCAGCTTCAGCCTGGGCTACAGCATCACCCGATTCCAAGGATGACACTCCCAGTGGGCAGACTGGGCAAGCACCAGAGCCCCATTAAAGTGAATTCTGCTCTTTAACATCAGCCCCTGCTCCACAGCTCCTTCACTGTAGTCATGGCCAATCTTCACAACCCATCAGCTTGATGGGCCAATCCCTCTCATTGATGTGCAGACAGCAACCAAGGCTCAACTACAACAGGAGGGCACACACAAAACACACAAAACACACACCTGGAGCACCCAGCTCTGGTGACCAGGGAGAGTGCGCCACTGGGCCCCACAAGACACCTGCTACATAAGGTGACTCCACAAAGAGTGAAAGACATAGCAGCCCTACCTAATACATATAAACAAAAACAGGGAGGCAGCCAAAGTGGGGAGACAAAGAAACATGTCCCAAATAAAAGAACAGAACAAAGACCAGAAAAAGAACTAAACAAAATGGAGACAAGCAATCTACCAGATGCAGAGCTCCAAATACTGCTTATAAGGATACTCAATGATCTCAGGGAAAACTTCAACAGAGAGATAGGAAACATAAAAATGGAGATAAAAAACATAAAAAGAACCAGCCAGAAATAAAGACTACAAAAACTGAAATGAAGAATACATTAGAGGAAATGAACAGTAGCTTAAATGAAGCAGAGGATCGAATCAGCAATGTAGAAGATAAGGTAGCAGAAAATACCCAAACAGGTCCGGCCGAGTGGCACATTGGTTAAGAGCTGACTTGCGATGCCAGAGGGCCCCGGTTCAGATCCCACATATGAGGGCCAGTGACACTGCCCTCTACAGCTAAGATGCTGAACAACAGCTCGACCTGGAGCTGGGCTGCCATGAGTCACCGGCAGCCAGTGTGAGCGGCCAGCAGCCGCCGTGAGCGGCTCTCCAGAAGCTGGTGACGGATCTGTCTTGCCTGGGAAGAGTGCAATGATGGTGCCAACTTGGGCCAGTGAAGCAACTTCCTCCACAACTAGACTGAAGAACAAAAGGACAGCAACTTGTCTGTTCCCCTTCCCCCAATTCCCCAGTGCTGTTCCCCTTCCCCCAATTCCCTAATAAAAATCTTTAAAAAAAAAAAAAAAGAAAGAAAATACCCAAACAGAACAGCAAGAAGTAAAAAGAATCTAAAAAAATGAGAAGAGTTTAAGGGGGCTCTGGGACAACATCAAGCATGCCAACATTCCCATCATAGAAGTATCAGAAGAAGGAGAGAAAGAGCAAGAAGTTGAAAACCTATTTGAGAAAGTAATGATGAAAAACTTCCCTAATCTGGCAAAAGAAATAGATATACAAGCCCAGGAAGTGCAGAGAGTCACAAACAAGATGAAACAAAACAGGCCCACACCAAGACACATCATAATTAAAATGCCAAAGTTTAAAGACAAAGAGAGAATATTAAAAGCAGTAAGAAAAAAGCAGTTACCTACTAGGGAGCTCTCATAAGACTGTCAGTTGATTTCTCAACCGAATCTTTGCAGGCCAGCAGGCATTGGCAGGAAATATTCAAAATAATGAAAAGCAAGAAACTACAATCAAGATTACTCTACCCAGCAAAGCTATCATTTATAATTGAAGGACAAATAAAGAACTCAGACAAGAAAAAGCTAAAGGAGTTCATTACCACCAAACCAGTATTACAAGGAGTCTTAGAGGGACTTCTTTAAGACATACCCACACACACAATAATAAAAATATGAATAATAAAATGGCAATAACTACATACCTATCAACAATTATTTTCAATGTAAATGGATTAAATGTTCCAATCAAAAGACATAGGGTGGCTGAATGGATAAGAAAACAAGACCCTTACATATGCTGCCTACAAGAGATGCACTTCAGATCGAAAGACATACACAGACTGAAAGTAAAGGGATGGAAAAAGATACCTCATGAAAATGGTAACAAACAAAAGCTGGAGTAACAATACTTATACCAGACTAAATAGACTTTAAAACAAAGTCTATGACAAGATACAAAGAAGGACCTAGTAATCCCACTTCTTGCTATTTATCAGAACAAACCCAAAATGCTACTTCAAGAGGACATACTTATCCTTATGTTCATTGCAGCATTATTTACATAAGTCAAGACATGAAGACAACCTGGGTGTTGCTGAATAGATGAATAGATTAAGAAGAGGAAGTATATATATACAATGGAACATAACTCAGCCATATAAAAGAACAAAATCTTGCCATCTGCGACAACATGGATGGACCTAGAGGGTACTGTACTGAGTGAAGTAAGTCAGACAGTGAAAGACAAATGTCATATGATTTCACTTATAAGTGGAATCTAAAGAACAAAATAAACAAACAAACAAAACAGAAACAAACACATAGATCCCAAGAACATTTAGATAGTTGCCAGATGGGAGTGGGGTTGGAGGTGGATGAAAAGGGGAAGGAATTAAGAGATACAAATTGGTTGTTACAAAGTAGTCCTGGGGATGTAGGTATAGCATAAGGAATATAGTCAATAATATTGTAATAACGATTCATGGTGTCAGATGGGTACTAGATTTATTGGGGTGGTAGGTGGGAGGGGGTTGAGGGACAGGGGGAAAAAATGAAGGCATTATAAAGTTCAAATTGGTAATTACAAAATAGGCATAGGGATATAAAGTAAAGCACAGGGAATGTAGTCAATAATATGGTAATACCTATGTTTGCTGCCAGATGGGTACTAGACTAGTCAGAGTGATCACTTGTTAAATTATGTAAATATCTAACCACTATGCTGTACACCTGAAATTAGTATAAAATAAAATTGAATGTCAACTGTAATTGAAAAATTAAAACGGGGGCGGGTGGGGGGGAGGTGAAGGGGGATAATAGGTTCAAATTTCCAGGTAGAAAACAAATAAGTCATGGGGATGTAATGTACAGTATAGAGAATATAGTCAATACTATTGTGATAGTGTTGTAGTGTCAGACACTTGCTAGACTTATCATGGTGATCACTTCTTTAAGTATATAAATGTTGAATAACTATTGTGTACTCCTGAAACTAATATAATATTGTATGTTAGCAATATTTTAATAAAAATCTTTTAAAAATGAGATATTACCACACTCTCATCAGAATGGCCAAAATAAAAACTGACAATAACACTAAATACTGGAGAGGATGTGGAGAAAACGGATCACTCATATATTGCTGGTGGGAATCTAAAATAGTTTGGCAATTCTTTTTTTTTAAAAGATTTTATTGGGGAATTGGGAGGGGGAACAGCGTTGGGGAATCAGGGAAAGGGAACAGACAAGTTGCTGTCCTTTTGTTCTTAAGTCCAGTTGTGGAGGACATTGCTTCACTGGCCCATGTTGGTATTATCATTGCGCTCTTCCCGGGTGAGTCAGCTGCTTGCCTGCCATTGGACGGCTGCTCACAGAGGTCACGGCAGCTCATGAAAGTGCACGCCAGCTGCCAGCCAGTCCCACTGTAGCCTATGCCATCGCTGGCAACTCAAGGCAGCCCAGCTCCAGGTTGAGCTGTTGTTCAGCATCTTAGCTGTAGAGGGCAGTGTCACTGGCCCTCATATGTGGGATCCGAACCGGGGCCCTCTGGCATCCCAAGCCAGTTCTTAACCATCGCGCCACTCAGCCGGCCCAGCTCTTAACCAACTGAGCCACTCTGCTGGCCCGATAATTCACATTTTATAGAAAATAAAAACAAGGCCACATGACGAACTGCTGATGGAATATTACAGAGCTAAAAACAAGCAAAGCACACCCTTTTTATAAGTATTAGTGTAGTTATATAAGTATTTATAAGTATAAAAAGATTTAGGGTACCCAGTTGTCAGAAATATAGGTGTTCTTTAATAGCAAATTTGCAAAGTAAAAATAAAAAACAAGCCCTCTATCGTCCCACAACTTACGATAGACTTGAAGGTTGTAGCTCCTGGTGATGGTGGTGAATTCCTCCATTTTAGAGGTCTTCATATTTATGTCAGCTTTGTAGATCCCTGCATCTTCCATCCTCAGATCGCTGATCTTCAGGTCATAGTTCTGATGTGAGACGTTTATTCGTTTTTGATAATTTTGGTGGGTCACAGTAACTTTGGGTGCAGGTTCTGAGTCTATTGCTACTACAAGAGCAACAGATGATTTCGAATTCATCCAAGCAATGTTGGTAATTTTCTGTGATTCGTGGATATTCAAGGGGAAACTAACTGTATCCCCTAAAATCCCATTCACTGTGAGGATGTTTGTGTTGTTTCCAGCTGCTTCCAGACCTGAGGACATGAATAGAAAACCAGAGCCATTTGGCTGTTGCACCTTTTAGAGTTCCCTGTCTCCCCAGGCTTGAGTCTCCCTCAGGAGCTCCCATGAATGCAGATCATCCAGTCTCTTGAGGAGGCCATATCTTTATATGGCATTCTACTCTAGATACATTTAATATGTTATGATGGCTAAATTTTCTAAAGGATTCTCACTCAAAAACTAAGTTTCCCAGTGAATTTCCAGGGATCCATTTCACTAAAAACATGTTTATCTAGACTTACAGACTCAGAGCTAGAAAGGATTTGAGAGATGAGGACCATACACCTCCACAAGGTCCGAGACATTAAATGTCTTTCTTTCCCAAGATCATATTGCCAAGTGGTGAAAGAGCTGGGGGCAAGAGCCTGTGATGGCTACTGCGGTCTTTTCAAAAAGCAAGTTACATTTATGCCTCTATTCCTGGAAGATATAGGTAGAGAGTGCCTTAGGAACTCTGGTGTAAGTGCTCCCCAAGTTGGTGATTTTGAGGGGTGTTTTTTGTTTCCTACTATATAGCCCCAGTCTCTGGAAGAGTACCTGACATACAAGGTCTGACAAGTTCACAAACTTGTTGCAACGATGTTGCTAATCTTTTTTGATATCAGAGGAATTATTCATTATAAATTTGTATCAACTGGACAAACAGTTAACCAAGTTTACTATTTGGAAGTGCTTGAAAAGGCTGCATGAAAAAGTTAGACGGCCTGAACTTTCGCCAACAATTCATGGCTCTTGCGTCACAACAATGCACCAGCTCACAGGGCACTGTCTGTGAGGGAGTTTTTAGCCAGTGAACAAATAACTGTATTGGAACACCCTCCCTACTCTCCTGATCTGGTCCCCAATGATCTCTTTCTTTACTCAAAGATAAAGAAAATATTGAAAGGAAGACATTTTGATGACATTCAGGACACCAAGGGTAATACGACGACAGCTCTGATGGCCATGCCAGACAAAAAGTTCCAAAACTGCTTTGAAGGGTGGACTAGGCACTGGTGTCGGTGTATAGCTTCCCAAGGGGAATACTTCGAAGGTGACTGTAGAGATATTCTGCAATGAGGTATGTAGCACTTTTTCTAGGATGAGTTCGTGAACTTAATTGTCCAGTTGTGTATAGTAGGAAGTTAGTAAATATTTCTGGGACAAATTAATAAATGGAATTCACTTATGCATTGCCTAGAATCTCTTGGAACAACTTCTGAAGTAAATTTCATTTATTCATTCATATACTTATGAATGAATACATGTATTTATTATTCAAGGTAAGTTTTGTTCTGGCTACAATGGCAGGTATTTATTAATTTAATTTATAATACAGAGGTTTGTTGAGCATCTGCTCTTTTAAGCATGATGTAAGGAGCTGGGAATATAATGATGAATAAAAATAGATATAGCTCCTGCCCTCCAGAACTTAAAGAGACCAGTGTGGATCAGATAACCACAACCGGTTAGATACAAAATACATAAGTGCTTTGAGAGAGATATATATGGTGCTTAGAGAGAGAATAGCAAGGGAACTTGATCTGTTCTGGGAATTCAGAAACACTTTCTAGTAAAAGCTGAAGGATGAGTATTTTTAAGATCTAACATGGGGAAAAAATAAAAGGTTTATTTTCTTCTCCTCCATCACCTAATGGAAGATAAACCGATTTAATACATAATTTGTAAAATGAAAAGCAATATAATTATGTTAGTTTTTCTTCTTCTTCCTCTTATTTCATTACTTTGTTATTCTCATAGAGCTCTATTTAGTTAGAAGTAGTGTTTTGAACCACTATGGATGATATTCAAAATATTTAATAACCAATAGGCAAAGGCACTGACCCATCAGTAAGGGCATTGGCCATAAACAATAACAGGGTCATTCTGATGAGTACTGGCTGCATGAAGCCCCAAAGAGGAGGATGTAAGTTTTTCACATAAGTGGGTTCAAGCTGACCCTAAAATTTATCCAGGGCTTGGCATAAAGAGGGTAAGAAAATGGTTCATTACGAATACACGTCATTTTGAAGTGTCGGAAAAGCAAAAGGATTTTTTTTTAACCTGCTGGTGCTGTCTCACTAAGGTCACCTTTGTCCTCCAGCCCAGTAGCTCCTTAATGCACCCAGGGGCTGTGAATATAAACCTTACCTTTTTCCTTTCAGACCAACCGAGATTTTCCCTCAGGGAGACTACCCCAGCAAGGCTAGTTGTTGTGGGCTAAGTACAGAGGGAGATGTAACAGGGTGCTGAGGGGAGGAAGACACTAAGGACCCTTATTTACAAACATTTATTAAGTGCTATTTGCCAGATGCTGTGTTATGACTCAGGGATAAATAGGACATGGTTGCAGCCCTAAGGAAGATAGGTGTGTATTCAAGTGAAAAATAATACAATATTATGAGTGATAAGTGGTAAGTGCCAAGTGAACACACCATTGGGGGACAGAAGGAGAGACTAAGGTTGCCTTTGGTGGCAGGAGTAATAGTTTATCAAAATCCATTCTCTTGAACATTAATTTTCTCTAGGTAAATTATTCCACTGGTCTGATGAACTCTCATAGAGGGGCATGTGGAGTATCCTAGCCTGAATCCCTGGATGTCCCAGACATGGTTATGTGACTTGTACAGTTGCACAGAGCTTTGAGCTCAGAAGGACCCTGAACTTGGCTTAATGCTGCTGTGACACCTTGAAATTCTTAATAGTATTTGAACAAGGAGCCCCACATTTTCATGTTATACTAGGTTCTGCAAATTATGTAGCTACTCCTAGTACCAGATCTCCCATGTCTATCTTAAGGCTTTATTTAAAGTCAGGCTCTAGTGCATAATTGCTATTCTGCTCTTCGGATTCAGGTTAGAGGTGAGAAGATGGATGGGATGTGGGTTCCATAGACATATAATTCTGGTGTTTTTTCTCCTCAAACCTCAGGAAGTATGCAGGCAGTTTGCAAAAATGGACCTTCTTAGTATATTAGAGCAGTTTTGCATCCACAAAATGGTTGCTGAGCAACGCTGCTTTTGAAGTCTGTCATATTTTCCATAGCAAGTCATTCAGGAAGTGGTACTGGGGTGTCCAAGGGTGATGAGGCAGAAGGGGTGGGCGATAGAGGGAGCTGGGGGAAGTCCTGCTACTATTTGTGCTGCTGATGTTGCTGATTAGAATTCTGGGCTTGCTGAGAAAAAGCACAGGGCTTATACAGGCATAAGTAAAGATTCTGCCACCTTCAAACATTCCAACCACAGTGTGACAGGCAACTGCAGATCCATAGCATGTAGTGGAAAGATAGGGAGGCTTAAGACTGAGGTGCTAGTACTTATTCTTATGAGCTGGGTAAACTTAATAAAATCACAAAACCTTTCTTAGCTTCTTCATTCATAGAATGGAAATAACAGCTGTAAAATTGCCTTAGCTAACTAATGATCATCAAATCATATAATATGAGTGGAAATGCTTCGTTAACCATCAAGGCACAATAAAAGTTAGTTCTGAGGTTGATAATGATCATAATGAAGATGAGAATCATCCTCATCATCTTCTTTATCATCATCATAATAATTGGTACATGCCCTTGAAGTCCTCCCTAGTATGTCCCTATGATGGCCTTGGTGACACCAAGGCCATATTAAAGAATGTATAAAAAAAACATTATTAAGGGCTAATTTAAGTAAAGACCAGGGGGATAGTTTTAGGTATCACTCCACTTGGTGGATTTTATTTTTCTCTTAAAAACTTCGGGTTTCTTTTTTAAAGGATCTCCATATCAACCAACCCAAATATTTTTTTTTCTAGGTGCTTAGACATTAGTGTTGGGGACTTAGAGATAGTTGCACCTGGTGGTACTCAAGAGAGTTGGTTATAACTAGTCATACTGAATGAAGGGAAGTAGAGAAAAAAGAAAGCAAAGAGTTGAGCAGCTGGTTTTGTGTCATTCTCCATGAGGTTGGAAAGACTTTGGTCATGAGGTTTTAAGGAAAGGAAACTACCACCCCCATACAATAGTATATTCTGCTGCATTTTTAAATTTATATGAGTTGTGATCAAACAATACAGTGAATGCTCCTGCCAAGTGCCATCCAACGGAAAGGCAGGGATCTACAATACAGGAAGTGAGGCATCGAACCTTAGTAACAGTGTGTGAAAAGTTTCAATTTGTTCAGTGCAGTCAGTCAGGTGTGAACTATGGTTGAGAGAAGGTGTGTTTTAATGTGTGCTATAAATCATGGGTCATGAACAGTGCATTAACATGAAATGGGCAAAATAAATCCTCCATTATGACAATGCTCTGTGTCAGACATCATTTCTGGTATGGCAATTTCTGTCAAATAAAACATTACAGTGTGTCCTCATCCACCTTATTCACCAGATCTGGCACTGTGTGACTTCTGGCTCTTCCCCAAAGTCAAAGTGACCATGAAAGGTAAACGTTTTGAATCTATTCAAGACATCAAGGCAGCCATGACAGCACAACTAAAGACACTCATGAAAGAGGACTTCCAGAACTGCTTCAGAAAGTGGCAAGAATGATGGGTTAAGTATGTTTGAAGCAAGGGGGAATATTTTGAGGAAGATTAATAGCAATGTGTCTATTTAAAAAATTTTTTTTTAATTTAAACATTCACCATATTTTTTTATTACACCTTGTATCATCTTTATTGAGATTTGGGTTGACTTGAATCTGCTACTTGAAAACAAACACACAAATTCTCAAAACAGAGATAAGATCCTGGCCAACCACTCTGTTATCACTACTTCCCTTTTTTGGTATAACAAAAAATTGAATATAACAAAAAAATAAGGTACAAGCTCCACCAACATCAGTCCCTGAACTGATTGCTCATACCTTTTTCTTTTCCAGCTTCCACATAACTGAGCCTAGTTACTCCCAAGCTTGCAGGTTCATACTTCTCTGAGGTTTAAGACAAGAAAGTTTTGTTTCAGGAAATATTTGAGTAGCCTGAGTGATCAGGGACTAACTTTTGGGCTTCTATTGTGAAAGCACTCTGGCTTTTTTATCAGTCACCTTGATCTCCAATGCTGTTTCAGCCTATCAGGCTGACCTGGTGGGTCTTTACTTTCTCTTACTGGAGGCCTGTGTAATCAAAAGGATGCAGCTTTCCAGCCTCTATTTGGAAATTAGATTTTTGAGCTGATACCCAAATACAGAATATATTTTTCCATTTCTATAATTGGGCTTCTGCTTTTGAGCCTTTTCTGAGTATCTGCTCAAACCTCTTTCTAGAACAGAGGTTTTATGTTTATCTTCAGGTTTTTCTCTGCAAGAACTTTGGACCAGTGGCAAATGGCTCTTGCCAGGACTCTTCTCCAGGCACGAAATCCTGTCTCTAACACTTAGGATGATGGATGGGGCCTAATTATTCATGGACAGATATCCAGATGGGCCAACTGACCTCTTGGAATTAAAAGTATTAACTGCTGGTATGCTCCATGACTGTGCTTTATATTAAATAGAACTCAAGACCTTGTTAATATTCGGCCCTTGTTTGTTTTTAAGAAGCTAATTCAAGTTAACCCAAATCGTATTGATGTGAATTTTACTTGAACTGTGTCTAGATATTGTCATTTTCTTGGATATTCTGCCTTGTTGGCATGCCTACACTTTTGTTATTGGTGAAGACCTGCCCATCAACCCCGCCCTCTTCTCCAGGTAGGTGCAGAGACAGTCCCCAGTCTCTCCTTGAATAATTCTGTCTTGCTGGGAATAAATTATCACTGAGAAACCCCAAAATGTGGTAAAAATTAATAGTATGTACAACATTTTATTCCACTTCGGCTTTCAAGTGGATGAAGGCAATGGTAAAATCTATAGACACAGGAAGTCAAATCCTACTTCCTCCACTTTTTGGCTAAATGACCTCCAGTTTTCTGTGTCTCAATGCTGTCACCTGTAAACTTGAGATATTAATAGTACTCATTTCATAGGGTATTGTGAGGATTACATAAAACAATAAATGTAGACTACTTAGAGTAATGCCAGACATGTAGTATTTGCTCATACATGGTTAGTTATTATTATTACTGATGGGAGATAAAAGAAGGAAGCAAAGGGAGGGTTTGAAGATACTGAAGCAAGAAAGATCTAGAGAAGAGGAAGAATTAAAATTGCATGAGAGAAAACATGTAGAAGAAAATAGATATGGACCAAAAGCGGTGGACTCTCCTGTCTTGTAACCTAGAGGGTGGGTGGTTAGTAGAATACTTGAAGGGATAGCCAGAGTCACAGGGTTCACAAGTCATGATGAGAAACTTGAGATCAGAACATAAGCCTCTGAGTCTTAGTTTTTAGAGAAAAATTTTCCAACATTTAAGAGGCATGAATTCACACACTTAGACTTCTCTTATTTCAGTGATTTCAAGAGGAAGTGGGAATTTCTAACTTCCTTTCTCTATTGCTTCAACTTCTCTGAGTTCCAGGGAAGTACATGAAATCAGTGTTGATTCATAAGCCCAATACTAATCCCCTTTGCCAGGAAATGTTTGCGGAATAACCTTTAAGTGGCAAACAGATCCATTCAGCAAAGGCGAATGTATGTGAAAGTACTTCTAGTTTTACTTCTATAAAAATAAGCCCCTATCCCAGATTTCATGGATCCCTGACAAAATGAATATCTCACCCCTGGTTTCCTCTTCCAGAATGCCAACAGCCCACACCTGATCTCAAACTCTCACCACCTTTTCTCCTGCTCATGTTCCTTAGATCATCCCAAACAGAGGAGTTGTGCCCAGGATCTCTGTACAATAAAGCCCTTGCTCTTCCTAATACTACGAGAAAAGTGTGTGTGAAAAACAATAGCTAGAAAAACAATATTTGTTAAGCACTTACTATATTCAGGTACTATGCCAAGTATTATACATGAATTATCATTTTGATTCTCAAAATAATCCTATTGTAGTATGTATCAACTGCTGGAATAAAAAAAGTTTTCCCATTTTCAAGTCAAAACAACAGGTTAAGCTCATATATATAGCTTTCCCAAAGTTACAAAGCTAATGGATGAATGATTCATTACTAGTTAATTTGACAACTTCAATTTGAGGCTCAGTAGATGAAGAAAGTGTATCATACAGCTGTCTTTTAGCACATATTAGGCCTTTGAAGAACATCAAGGGTTTGAAAAGTTAATGTGTGAAGAGGTCAGAAAAAGTGTGATGCAGAAAGAGCAATAGCTTTGGGATTAGAGGAACCAATGTCCATTATCATCTCTACCGATTTTAGGTTGTGAAATTTCAGGTGAATTGTTTTAACCTGAATCTTAGTTTATACTATTTTTTTCATAATGGGATTAATCAGATCTATCTTGCTTATTTCAGTGGGTTTAGTATGAATCACATGAGAATGCAGGCATAAAAATTGTAGAATGGTTTGCAAATTAAGTGATAACAAATGCCACCCTTCTCTGGAAGATTAGGGACATCCCTAGATATCCACTTAGGTTCTTTCCAACTCTTTTCCCCATCTATTTGCATTTTCTAGCTGCCATGTCAGGGTGAGTAGCATAAACTCTAAAAACTTGGCTTTCCTAGTGGTTGCAATCTCCTTGAAGCTCAGATTAAAAGAGCTACAACTTTAAATGGTTAAGGGAACCAAAGAGACCACAAAGTGCTTTTTTTACACTAGATTGCTGTTTTTTAATTCATGCCAGTAATTTGCTAATGCGTTTTCAGAGCTGGTAAGAGATAACATAAGTAGATTTATAAATGCCAAACATAGTCAAATTTATATAAACAAAGCAATTGTTTGGGTTTAATGAAATAATATATGCAATGACAAAACACTCCCAGAACTGCTAGTGTTACATAGTTTTCTTTGTACTAACAACAAATAATATTCATCTGTCCTTTATAGTTTACTGTTAACTCATAAGTAAGAAAAAGAGTTTTTAGTTCAAATCCTCCATTTTTTTGAGACCTAATGAATTTGTAATATAGGGATAATCATCTCTTTACCATTTATTTTAGAGAATTTTTGGAAGACAGAAGCAGAATAACAGTTCTAAATGTGCTTTGAAAATAAAGGGAACTTCTAGAAATGAAGTTTTTACAATGATAATTATAGTTATGCAACACTCTAATCTGATAGAGCAATGAACTAAAATTGGGAGGGGCATATATATCTGTCAAAAATTACACAACACATTCTAATGCTAAAAAGAAACTGTTTTTAAGTTATTCAAGATTTTGAACTTTTATTTTTTGGCTGTGCTTTCTGAGTGGGTCTACCAACTGCTGACTCTCCTGAGCAGAAGGGTTTGTCTCAGGTCTTCAGAGATGGGACACAGACAAAATTCAGAAATATACACTCTAAAGCTGAAAAACAGGATCTTAAGTCTCCCCTCATCCTTTTATGACCCAGGGTGTTTCTGATAAAACAGATGAAAAGGGCATTTCAATGTCTTCCTTAAGGACAATCTCTAAAATTTAATAGAAAGCTAGGAGAGGAAAAGCAAGGGTCAGAACTCACAGGTTTGCAGACAAAGGAGCAAGATCCACAAGTAGTGCTGAACCATCGTCTTCCCCGGAGTCTGTGTCTAGAATGGCACTCTTCTAGCAGAGTCACTTTCACTTGAATTTTTTTGTTCCTATCAGCGCTTTAAAAAGGAAGTATGAACTATTGAAACATTGGTCTATATAGTATGCTGTTTTTCCTGTTATATAACATAAAGTGCTTAGCATTAATTCGACAAATTATTTGACAAATAGTTATTGAATGCCTACTATGTGCCAGGCACTATTCTGGGCACTGGCAATATAAAGAGCAACAAAGCAATTGATTTCCCCTTCTCCAGGAGATCAACAATTAAACAGGCAACTCCAACATAGTATGGTAAGTGTTTCAATAGAGAAAATATGGGAAGCTGAGAGAGCAGCAGGGTCATCTACCCCACACTAGGAGAGTGTGGGGAAGGCTTTCTGAAGGAACTGACAACCAAGCTGAGACAGATCTGAAGAGTAAGTAAGTGTTATTAGGCAAAAGATGGCGGGGATAGACAATAGGAAGAATGTGTTAACATGATAGGAGTTTAATAAATGGTAGCAACTAATATTATATAATTATGGTTACATAATAATACATAATAGAATTACATGTAGTTCTATTATACAGAATTATTTATGTAATGGTTATATTCTATATTACATCTTATATACAATTATATGTTACATAAATTATGTATATAATGTATATAATATAATTATATTATGATTGAACCAAAGGAAACACAGGATTGCTCTCTAATAGAGGACCCCTACTCCCTGTTAAAAGATAACAAAGGCTTTGTATGTGTGTGAGGTGTTGGAGGTGGTAATATGTGCAAATATTTGGGCTCAAAAGCCGAGCAATTTGAACTTGAACCCAGCTGTTTTGGGGAGTGCTGAGGAAGCTGAGGAACCAGCCCCTGAGGCTTTAGGAAAATAAGATTATGTACAGCCTTTCCCCCTGACAGCCAGTGTTTGGAATGAGTCTTAGTTGTTCCAAGATTTGTGCCTGAGAAGCTGCAAGCCCAAAGAACACACCAGATGGCTGAGTGTGCAACATAGGTTTATTGAGACTTACTGACTAGGAGAGTCTCGTGGTGGCCAGCCGGGGGGTAGTGATATGAATGCAGGCAGAGAAGAAGCAAGGTTATATAGGTACAGCAAACAAAGAGCATTCCATGGGAGAAATCATCTGATAGGTCCTGCAGCCCTGCTCTCATGTACACAGTGTCCCAAGAAACTAGGGGACCTTGACTGCCGGCCAGCATATGGAAATGGTTGTCTGATAAGCAGTGTTTCCATGGAGCTGGGAGACCTTGACTGGCAGCTCATCTCCTGTGGGCAAGGTCCTTACAGCCAACTAGTTAATTTCTAGGTTACCTGAGCCTCTGGGGTCATTAATTACACAATCTTCCTCATCATTCGCCATATATACTTGTTCAGTATTGAATAGTTGAGTGCCTTTACGCAGGGATGAGGTCTGACAATTAAAGTTCGTAAACTTGCCACAGTGTGCTTACATTGGAGCACTGTAAAAACAGCTCAGTAAGGTTTCATAACCTTAGTTGTACCAGTGTCTCAAAACTGTGTTTGTGTCGATATGTGGCATTCATTATTGTTTTGTTTTGTTTTAAATTTTTTTGTTAGTTTCAGGTGTACAGAACAATGCGATAGTTATCCTTTTCACCCTCACAAAGTAGTAACAACCCCCTTCCCCCCATCTACTGCCCTCCCACCCCCGATATCATGCTTATCTATTACAATTCCATTGACTCCATTCCTACTCTCTACTCCATGTCCCGCGACTATATGTATATATAATTATAGTTGACATACAATATTATTCAACATTAGCTTCAGAAATACAGTGCGGTGGTTAGGCCTCTACACCAACTATGAAGTGGTCTCCCCAATAAGACATGAGTCCATCTGGCCCCTTAAGAAATATTTACAACATTATTGATTATATTCCCCAGGTTGTCTTTTCTATCCCTGAGGCCATATTGTAGTTACCAATTTGTATTTTCTCATCCCTTCCCCTTCTTCTTCATCCCCACTCCCTCCCAACTAGCAACCCTCAGTTTTTCCTCTGTGTCTCTGAGACTATCTCCGTCCACATCTCCCATCCATTCAGTTCCTTAGAATCCACGTATAAGTGAGATCATATGGTATTTGTCTTTCTCTGATTGACTTATTTCACTTAGTATAATGTTCTCT